ATAAACAGGGTTAACAAAAGGGCAAAGAAAATGGCAATCTCCCTGGACCTAGGAGCCATCAGGACTTTAACATTTTTCCAAGAATGGAACAGTCTGACTCAGAGACTGGCCAAGACCCCGTTGGGTTCGGAGGACCAGAAGCTACATATTGAACTTATAGACTGCAATTTGCTAGACAGAGGTCCCAGCCCAGTTGTATAGGGGTTAAGCTGCCAATATACAGCAAAACAACTTTCTCCTGTACCAGAATACATTTTAAGGAAATTGGACAGACTGTGTTTGTGGCCAGAAAGAATAACTTGCCTCAACATACAGCCCTGACAGTGGCCTGCAGAAAACTGTATAATAGACTTAGATGATGTCTGAATATTCATGGACACAGCTCCAGAGAGACAAGGACAATTCTGCCGTATGGTTATATAGCCCTACCATGTGTCATATATGGTAGCAGAAAATTTGGCTGCCTAAAGTAGCCACAGTGATCATATTGTACCTCATTATATTGATATATTAGATTAACCTTAATTCTCTCACAGATTTAAATGCAGTTGTCAGAAGGGCAGGTGCCCAAATGGACAAAGAAGAATACCCATCAGGTTTTGGTCTCCATTGAGAGACAGTTGGCAGCCTGTATGACCATGCCCATGTCAGGGGTGGCACAAACCTCAACTCTAGGAAACTGTTCAGAACAGAGGGAAGTAGTAAAGTGGTGGGTACTAGCCCTTTTTTACAGGAATTACAGACCCTGTGAGGTCCTGTGACATATGAGACCCTATAAAAAAATAAAGCTCCCTTAGTCCGTTCTGAGAGAACAAGTCAAGTAAGGGGAGCCGTACTATAGGGACAGCTATAACTATCTATTTGAATATAGACACATTGTAAATTTCTTCTTGCCATTTAAAGACAGTTATATTTCTTTGAAGAGTCCATAAAAAGGACTGACAAGGGAAATCAGAAGATCTTAAGGCAGGTCAGTAGCTTTTTCTTCTTATGTAATTCCTCCGAAATTTGGCAATACTTAATTCATGGCAATACATTTCTTTGCATAAATTCAATAAGACTGGTTTCTAATAGTGGTTTTATTGACCGAAAACTTTGACTGGAGTATCATATTTTAAAGAGCCCTATCTGAGCTCTGAATACTTGAAGCCAATAAGAGTACCATGGTGAAAGCCTCGTATCTTGCTTGGTAGCCCTGAAAATAGCTGGCGCTGGAGCGTCAGGCCCATGCCCTACCATCACTTGTGGTTGGTCAGAGTAGAAGGGGAGCAATAAGGGCACCTCTGCATCCCTGCAGAACCCCCATGCACTCTGGGCAGCGACGAGTTGGAAGGCTGCTGAGAAGAGCCTTAAAGCAAGGACAATGGGCCCGGGCAGAGCCACTGCAGGTGGGGAATTCACCTAACACAGCAGATACTGCAGGCAGGCCTGATGGTGGCTAGATGGCATGGCTTCCTGGCCCTATGGGGCACATTAAGATTCAATCATAAAATTCCAGCAAAGGTAGTCAGTTACCATTCTTGTCGTGTTTATGCAAACAATCAGGCCAAATTGAATACAGTAAATAAATTAGTATTTTAATAAACAGAGAGATAATTTTAAGGAGAAAAACTCTATTTCAATGGAGGTTATTAAAACTGAAATGTTTTCTTTCTCTCCCACCAGACCATTTGTTATAGTTTTTCTCCTCCAGGTCACAAGCCCACCTCCTTCTGTGCCCAGGCCTCATTGTCCCTCTGACAGACATCAAGGATCTCTTGGCTCTGAGAGAAAACTCTGTCCCTCCTCAGCACGAAGCAGCTACAGAAAAAATTCAATGTCCATTTTCTCTGAAAGAATTCAGAGCCAGAATCCTTGAGGTAATATGGTAGGCAGTTAGTCAGACATAAGCAGAGCAAGGACGATGGGCCCATTGGCACTGCCAGATGTAACTAAGTATTTCCACCTCTACGTATGTAAGACAAGGGGACTCCCCAGAAGCAAGAGGGAACCGGTTTGCAGACAAAACAGCCAAAGAGACTGCAAAAAGACCAGTAGGGCCGGTTGAAATACTGGTAGCAGTACCACCCCGGAATCTACAGCCAAACCCTGTTTACTCCTCAGAAGAAAAGGAAAAAGCCACAAAATTACATGCAAAAGGGACTTCCCAGGGATGGCTACTATTACCAGATGGAAGGCCTTTTGTTCCAGAGGCTTTGAGCCGAATCATCGCCTCCCAGACACACCAAAGTACTCACCTGGGAGCAACCAAACTAGCTGAACTCCTGGGAAGGGAATACTACATACCACGGCCACATCGGATAACCCGGGATATAGCCAGAAGGAGCCAAGTTTGTGCCCAGTCCTTACAGGCACTCCAGGCCAGCTCAGCAGCTGTGCACCAAATCGCCCGGGCAGCTCATCAGGAAGCCATGCGCCCAACCCAAACAGCCCACCTCTGTGTGTCCCTGGTGCTTTGGCCTAGGTGAAGCACCACGATCCAGGTACTCTTGAGCCTCATTGGGAAGGGCCTTTCCAGGTCATTCTAAGCACCCCAACTGCTGTCAAAGTCAGAGGAAAGAAGCTCTGGATTCACCGCACACAAATCAAGAAGGCTGAAGACGCATCAGGACAATGGACTTTAGAGCTCACAGCAGACCCACTCAAGGTCAGACTGAAAAGGGGACCCTGTCTAGGCATCCTCCTTTTATGCCCCCTGGTTTTGGCAAACGGGAATCCCCACCAAGACCCAGTTTACTCCTGGGAGATCCCCTGCACTCTAGACAGTAAAATCTTTGGGAAAGCCACCACCTCAGGGCCCCCGGAGTGTGGGGATGAAGATGACTTTTACTGTCCCTCTTAGGGCTGTGAAACTGCTTATTAAATAAAGTATTAACCAAGTTTTATAATAAACTTGATGTTCCAGGAAGATGCATTGGGTACTGTTTTTTTTCTTCCTCTGCACAGAACTGGGGCTGCACATCCTGCTGTTAGAGAAGCGTGCAGTGATGCAGTACTGGAACTTTATATAGGGGAACTCCAACAGGAACAAGTATGGTTCTGCAGGGAAAAGGCCAGCACCCAGCATGCTGGGTGGGTTCCAGGCACTGGGGCATAGCAGTGGGCGAAGCAGGCAGAGGTCTCCATTCTCATGCAGCTGATGGCCTGGGTGCTCTGTGACCTCTCCTGAACTCTTGGCTTTGCTCACTTCCCCCTGTGCTAGAGTCATTCTCAGGTAGGCTGTCCCTGTCTATAAGTCAGACTTTTACATTACTGGGAGAACAGTGCTCCAGGCAGAGGGAACAGCAGAGCTGAAGCAAAGAGCTCGAGTGGGAAAGAACTTGACATTTTTCAAGGTGGTCAGAGCGTAATGAGCTGGTGTGAGAACAGGAGTTGTGGCTGCAGATAAAGGGCAGAGCTTTGGCTCCTGGGAATTCAGAGAAAAAGAAGAAAGGGGGGCCTTGGAGACAGGTTCAGGGGGTTAGCCTGGGATGAGCTTCCACTACCCATTGCTCTCCTGGTTGCAAGTCTTATGGGGTCCCTTAGAGGTTAGGAGATATGTGCCTGTGGGGAAAGGAGAGAGAGAAGGAAATGACACAGATGTGCTACCTGGAAGGAGAACTAACACAGGGACCTTCATTTTCAGGGATTTTGCAGGCTGGAAGTTTACGGGAGGCCTTAGGGGCAGATCAATAGAATATTATGCTGATGTACCAAAATGAGATTTATTCTCTCAGTCTATGGGTGTAGATGGCAACTGGCACTTAATTGTATTTCTGTTATCTGTCTCTTTGAGTAGGCATATTTAAGCTATTTACCCTCTGCTTTAGGGGGAGAAGTGAAAACCATTTCCTCTTAAGTATCCTTGGTTTGGGGAAGATAGGATTTACTAGGTGAACACAAATTGCTGTTTACTGTCTTCGCTTCCCCATTCTACTTGTCCTGGAATTTTTCTAGATTCTTACTGTTCTATATCAAGACCTCAGAAAATAATTTAAAAATATATAATGTAGGTCATTCAGAATCTACACAAGATATGTTTTAATATGTGATACATAGTATATAATATAAAATAAATATCCTATCTAATAATAGACAAACATGATAATTGACCATACCTTCACTACGCCTCCCATTGGCTAATCAGCATGATTAACCGCCAACAAAGATGATGGCTAATTTGCATACTGTAGGCAGGGTGGGACAGTGTAAGACGCCAGCGCGAGCCATCATCCAGGCCCCCGTGTGCAAGCCCAGAAGCCGCCTGCCTGAGGCTCTTGATCAGATCTGACCCGGGCCGCAGTCCAGCCCAGTATCCCCAGAAGCCACCTGATATGGCAGTAACTCTATCAGTAAGCACTCTGAAAGTCAGTGGCATAAATGCAGCAATTAAAAGACAGATTATGAGGGTGAATCAAAAAGAAAACCCACTTTAAATATAAAGACACATATAATTTAAAAGTTAATGCATTAAGCTGCAGCCTTTTTTGCTCAGTGGATAGAGCATTAGCCTGTGGACTAAAGGATCCCAGGTTTGATTCCAGTCAAGGGCATGTACCTCAGTTGCTGGCTTGATCCCCAGTCCCTATCAGAGCATGCTCAGGAGGCAACCAAACAATGTGTCTCTCCCTTTCCTTTCACTCTAAAATTCAAGGGTACATATAATATGCTATAGGATTTTTATTTTTATTTTTTTATATTTTATTTATTTATTTTTTTTACAGAGAGGAAGGGAGAGGGATAGAGAGTTAGAAACATTGATGAGAGGGAAACAGATGAGAGGGAAACATCGATCATTTGCCTCTTGCACAACCCCTACTAGGGATGTGCCCGCAACCAACGTACATGCCCTTGATGGGAATCAATCCTGGGACCTTTCAGTCCATAGGCTGACTCTCTATCCACTGAGCCAAACCAGTTAATGCTGCTGTAGTATTTTATAGTGTTTTTTTTTACATGTATGAGATTATTTCAAATTAAAATATTAAAAAATTAAAAATTAATAATATATTAATTGAAATATATATGCATTACATGAAAAATCTCCTAACTGCTTCGAGCATAATTTATTAAATTGTGCTAAAATTTACAAAGGTTCAATTAAAAAATATCTTAATTCTAAATGATATAATATAAAAGATATAATAGTGCAGTTATAAGCACTTATCTGAAAATAAAAATTTAAAGAATTGAATTTAAAGAAGGGATTAGCCAAAGAAAATATGTGCACAACCCATGGACACAGACAACAGTATGGTGATGGCCAGAGAGAAGTGGGGGGACAAGAGCTGTGTAGAGGGGGGCAAAAGGAGGGAAATAGGGACATCCTATATACTAACTATTTAATAACAGAAAAACATGGTAATTGACTGTACCTTCTCTACACCTCCCATTGGCTAATCAGCAAGATATGCAAATTACTACCAACAAAGCTGGCGGTTAATTTGCATATACTGGCTGGGAGTGAAGACTGAGACAATGTGGAAGTGAAGCGCTACAGAGGGAGCAAAGTAGAGGCGGCAGAGACAGGAACGAAGCCAAAACTATGGAGGAGGGAGGCTGGAGGGGAAACCCATCCACAGTGGCTTGGAGCGGAGGGGAAACCCAGCTGCAGTAGCTTGGAGGGGGAGGGCAAACCCAGCAGGAGAGGCTGGGGTTTCACTCCCTTGTCTGCTTTGCTCCAGCTGTAGAAAGCCCTATTCTTGCAGGAATCTTCCTGCATCAGGCAGGAAGCCCTATCTAATAATAGACAAATATGGTAACTAACCATACCTCCGACATGCTTCCCATTGGCTAATCAGGGCGATATGCATATTAACTGCCAACCAAGATGGTGGCCAACAGCCAGGCAGCTGAAGCGAACAGGAGGCTTGCTTGCTCCAGTGAAGGAGGAAGCCAAGGTTCCCCGCTGTCACTGCTGGGCTCTGAGCTTGCACTCTAAGCAATTATGTTGCAATTATAGAAGCTAAACAAACCCCATGCTTTCAGCCAGCCGGCCGAGCTGGAGTTGCAGCAGTGTTTCAATTATAGAACCCAAAAAAACCAGATACCTGCTTTCAGCAGCCGAGGTCTCAGAGCTGGAGCCTGCTCTCAGCTCCAGTGACAGCCATAGAAGGTAAATAAATCCCAGAATAAAAAAAAAAAAAAAAAAAAAAAAGGAGAGGTTGGGAGCTTCAGTCACCCACCAGCGTGAAAACGGCCCTCAGCCCCTCACCCAGACTGTCCAGGCACCCCAGTGGGGACCCCCACCCTGAAGGGGGTGTGACCAGGTGCAAACAGCCATCATCTCCTCATCCAGGTTGCCCAGGCACCCCAGTGGGGAACCCCATCCTGCAGGGGGTGTGACCAGCTGCAAACAGCCATCATCCCCTCATCCTGGCTGGCCAGGCACCCAAGCGGGACCCCCACCCTGATCCAGGACACCCTTCAGGGCAAACCAGCCGGCCCCCACCCGTGCACCAGGCTCTATTCTATATAGTAAAAGGGTAATATGCCTCCCAGCACTGGGATCAGTGGAGCTGCGAGGCCTCCTGGCACCGGGATCAGCTGAGCAACAAGGCATCATTGCCCTGGTGTCAAGCAGAGCCACGAGGCTTCCCAGCACTGGGATCAGTGGAGCCGCGAGGCCTCCTGGCCCCTGGAGCAGTGTGACAGGGGGCAGCGCCCAAACCCCCTGATCGCCCTGCAGCTCTGTGTGTGACAGGGTGTGGCGCCCCAACCCCCCCATGGCCCCTGCTCTGTGTGTGATGGGGTGGAGCCGCAACCTCCCCATCGGCTCTGCCCTGAGTGTGACAGGGGGGAGTGCCCGAACCCCCTGATCTGCCCTGCTCTGTGCCTGATAGGGGGAGCTCCCCAACCCCCTGATCAGTCCTGCTCTGTGTGTGACAGGGTATGGCACCGTAACCCTCACATGGGCCCTGCTCTGTTTGTGATGGGGTGGAGCCGCAACCTCCCCATCGACCCTGCCATGAGTGTGATGGGGGAGGCGCCCCAACCCCCCAATTGGCCCTGCTCTGAGCCCAACCAGGGGCTGCACCTAGGGATTGGGCCTGCCTTCTGTCACCTGGGAGCAGGCCTAAGCCAGCAGGTCGTAATCTCTGAGGGATCCCAGACTGTGAGAGGGCACAAGTGGGGCTGAGGGACACCCCCCCGCCAGTGCACAAATTTTTGTGCACCGGGCCTCTAGTATATATATATATATTACTGATAGTGGAAAATCTCTCTCATTTCAAGAAAGTGAATTGTTACTTAACTCACTTTAAGTCATTTTAGTTAAAATGTATCTCATGTACAAGTGGGGCTGAGGGACACCGCCTCCCCCGCCAGTGCACAAATTTTTGTGTACCAGGCCTCTAGTATTAATCATAAAAGGCTAATATGCAAATTGACTGAATGGCAGAATGAATAGTTTCTATGATGCGCACTGGCCACCAGGGGGTGGACGCTCAATGCAGGAGCTTCCCCCTGGTGGTCAGTAAACTTCCATATGGGGAGTGCCACTCAGCCAGAAGCTGGTTCATGGCTGGAAAGCACAGAGGTGGTGGCAGGAGCCTCTCCCACCTCCGTGGCAGCACTAAGAATGTCCAACTAACGGTTTAGACCTCATCCCTTGGGGGCCTAAGCCTTTAGTCGGACATCCCCCTAGGGCTCCCTGGCTGCCAGAAGGATGTCTGTCTGCAAGCTTAGGCCTGATCCCCCGGGGAGTGGGCCTAAGTCGACAGGTGGATATGCCCTGAAAGGGGTCCTGGACTGCAATTTTTGTGCACTGGGCTTCTAGTATAATATATGTTTAATACTATATAAATATAACATAATAATTTGATACTTGTCCCATTTTATGTAAAAATAATTGTTTATTAATAAGAAGAAATTAACAGAAAATGAAAATATCAGTATGTAATAAATCTTAGCTTAAAAAACAAATGCTCAAGGACATTCCATGATTAGTTCACTTAAAAATATGATCCTAATTTTATTTTTTTGTTTAATATGTTTAAGAAAGATATAAACCTATAAAGAATGTGCTAATATATTGTACAAAAAGTAAAGAGCTAAAGATTAGGACCTATAAGAAATGGAGAGAGTAGCCCTGACAGGTTTGGCTCAGTGGATAGAGCGTCGGCCTGTGGACTCAAGGGTCCCAGGTTCGATTCCAGTCAAGGGCATGTACCTCGGTTGTGGGCACATTCCCAGTAGGGGGTGTGCAAGAGGCAGCTGATAGATGTTTCTTTCTCATCGATGTTTCTAACTCTCTGTCCCTCTCCCTTAATCTCTGTAAAAAATCAATAAAATATATTTTTAAAAAAATGAAATGGAGAGCAACACATGAGTACTTAAGTACTGATCATAAAATTCACTTTAATTTTTTATCACAGGGATTTGAGTAAATATTTCTGGAGTATAAAGTGCAAGCTACTAATAATCACCTAATATATAGGAAAATAATTTTAAAATTTGTATTTCTCAATTGCTGTACTTCAAAAAATATTTCTAGTTTGATTAAACTTGAACCTGAAACATTTACAAGCAAGCAATATTTTCCCACTATAAATACAAGTACATGTGAACTGTAGAAACTAAGGACTAGTTTATGACATTGTTCCCAAAGCAGATTACTGATAATGATAGAGTAGTGTCAGAGGAAGAGAAATCGCTTTTCTGTTTCCCCCAGGTGTACTCTCAAATAACTCAATTTTCTATAGAGGCTTTCCATGCTATAAAAATATTTGAAAGTGATTTTGCCTGTAAACACAACCACATAGCTGAAAATAAAATGAACCCCGTAAGCAAATTCCCTGTTTATCTCAAACTTGAAGCTGAATTTTTAATAAATTTAAAACTTATTGGTCAAATTGTTTGTCTACCTGTATAGGCTAACATGACCATTTTCTGGTTCTATCTTTTAGGTATATCAGGTAAGTAAATAGATCAGCCTTTATTCTTTCCTTTTTCCTAAAGAAATTTCCTCTCTATTCTTTCCAGATTTATACCCAGTTCTCATCATGAAGTCAATAATATGATCTCTCCAATACAACTTTATTGACTCTGCTATACATAAAAGAGTAATAATTACTAATGAAATAAATATGCATAGGAAAGATTCTGTTCTTGAAAATATCCGATTAGAAGAGCAGATCAGTTTGAACCAAAGGGGGGAGAGTGTATATTCAGTTTGGAAATTTATACAATTTGAAGGGTGCTTTTTAAAAAAAGTTAGAGGATACAAGTAAAAATTCAGGTACAGGCACTTCAAAGTGGCCTATGTAAGTGAGGGGTTCTGAGTCTTAAGTTTCATTTGCGTTATGATAAATACACTACTCTTACTGAGTATTTAATGGTGACATACACAAAGTGCCGTGGAATGCTAATGGTCAGATTACTTTCTCATACACTGCTGCCATCTCATTAAATGGTAGAAAAAGAAGTCTGTTAATTCTGTCACCTAAGTGATTCAATTGAGACTTCATTAGGTCTGAGCTAAGGTTGGCAAATGAGAAGCCGTTCACCAGTTTAAAATGGTGGGAGGGAAAACCTTTGGAGAGAGGGATGAACAAACAAGGACAAAGAGAGATGAATGTGTGCCTTTTAAATAAATTGCAATTATATAGAGCATGGCTGCTTCATGAACAAATAAGAACAGGAAAAACATAGAGGGTGAACATTAGATTGTTATCAATGACAGAACATCTTTGTTCTTGCTTGCCATGCTAAGTACACCTGCTCTATATTTTAAAGCAGCAAAATGCTTAACTAGAAAGTTGTAGCTTTGTTTTTAGCATCACCAATTAAAACTGTGTCATTCACCATAAGTTTGAATGAAACACTATATTTTAACATGGTGTCTAAATTTTTTTATTGTTAATATATTTGTGATGAATATAGAGAAATAAAAACTGTCATTTAACATTCACATTAGTTTATATATTAACTATGCAACACCAAAGAACATTATTTAAGTAACTAGCTATTATTAAGTCACTATAACCATATTTATATTGGATCCAACTCTTTCTTGCTTATATATGTACTTCTGATTGCTCTGCAGACAAGGGCCAAGGTAATGACATTTAGAATGATGACACGTCATCTGTCAGCCTTCTCTGTAATTCTCTCCAGGCTCTGGCAGACAAATACATTTCACATGATATAAAAAGTTAAGTACCAAAGCAGTATAAAAATAACTTTAAGGGCCAGATAAAATAGGCTAAAGCAAGGACATTGAAAGTTAATGCTTCCCTTTGTGCCTAAACTGGCCTTATTCAATTTCACAGATTTTATAAAATGTAATAATTCTTAAAAACCTGCAGAGGGCAAATATAGACAAGATCTTCTAAAAAAGATATAAATGTGATTGTTAATTATCTACATGACTCCAAATGTATTTGTTTTATCATTTGGGATGGTTTCTGCTGAAGGAAAACAAAACAAAAAGTGGCATAAATCATAAGGAGAGTTGTGACAAGTAATGGTCAATTGTGTCTTTTGCTGTATTTGTGATCCTATGATTGTGCATGTTTGTTTGTCTCAATTCAATATACATAAACTGGAAAAAAGCAAAAAACAAACAAACAAAAAATAGTTACCCATTTCTCCCACCACCACCATCTACCTCTGGCAACCATCAATCTGTTTTCTGTATCTATAGGCTTGGGTTATTTAATATTTTTACAAATTTTATTTGTTATTTTTAAAAATTTTATTTATTATCTAAACAAAATTTTCCCTTTGGACTGTTAGGATAGAGGAAAAGGAAAATGAATCCTAGGTAGCCAATTAATTATGTTAACTGCCACTACACATAAAGGAATGCCATTGCTTTATCTCACTTACTCATAATTTATCTTCTGACATTTTGTGATGACTTTTAATTTCTCTTCTTTTTAATTTATTTTGTCCACAGACTCCAAACCACAATTATAATGTGCTCTTTATAGCACAATTCTGACTTAACTTTTTAAAGTTTTTCAGAATACCTTAGAACCTCAGCAAAAAATATAAGTATCATGGGATTAGCACCCTAAGTTTTTAATGTCTCTTTTCCCTTACACTATACCGCAGAATTCATCTCCCAGAAGTATGAACTGTGTGCATTTTTATATTTCTTCTGTTTCATTGCACTGGCATGGCTTTGCTTTATGTCTGTGATCGTTATTTCACCTTGCCCTGAACTCTTAATTATCCCCTAATAATAACAATTAGCTTATACTCTTCCTTGTTTAGGAAGACTTCCCAAATGTCAAAAACTAGGGTGCCCTCCAGAATTCTATGTCTGGTACCAATACATTTTAGAACATTTTTCCTAAAGGTCTACTTATGTGTTTTCATGTGAGGAGCTTTATGGAAGGACCTGTTTATTACTGTGAGCACAGTTGCTGACACATAGCTGCACTTAATAAATATTTGAAAAGAGAAACTATAATATATCATACTAATAATAACCTCTTATGGTATCACATTGATCCTCATTTTATCTACTTTATTTTATGTCTAAGATATATTACCACCCCCTCCTCCCAAATTACCTTCTCTTTTGGCCTCCTTAACTCTAACTCACTCTTAAGGAGTTGGTTGAAGAGTGTCACTGTTTGCCAGGAAGGTGTTTGTAACTCACATGTCCATGTTAAATCTGCCTGTTGTACATCCACAGAGTAGCCTGACCTTTCTCTCATAAATCTGATACCAAATTCACAAGACCTTATTTAGTCCTTTCCCTTCTTTATTCACTGTGAGATCTAGGGGATCAGGGAGCCTATGGATCCACTTACCCCTGCATTCTAACATAATGCAGGACTGGCAATATATTAGGCATTTAATAAGTGCTTATAAATGTAATGATTTATGTTACTAAATTTGGACCAGTTCTCTCCTTGATGTATATGTACACAATTCTCCTAATTGCTAAATATTTAATTTCAAAAATTAAAAATAATGTCACTCTTTGCAGTTAACTACTTCTATTTGTGATACACTTAGTGATTTTAGGAATTCTCTATCTGCTGAGAGAAACTCAGGTCATGGAACCATTTTACTCCCTGTTTCTGATACTCTGTTCTTTTACAACTTCTATCCAGATCATTTCTGCCTTGAAGAATCAGACATTCTGCAAAGCCGACTGCTTCATTATTTGAAGAAAAGATGTAGGAAGAAGTATCATCTGCTATTGGATTCCTAAATCTATCCTAAATTTTCTATTGAACCTACTTCCACTTTCCAATATTGTGACAATCTTTGTTAGGTGCCATTAGTATGTTAATACTCCTCTATTGTATCCTTCACTTGCTGTGGAAACTGTCCTTAATACACCACAAATTCTCTCACATGCAAAAGTCATGCTCTGAGCCCTCAGACGTTTTGGCTCTTGATATTCAAAGCCAATGTTGGACCCAAACTATCTATAACATCATATTTTTTATCAGTAATTTTTCTTTGCTATGGGTTTAACTAGCAATGAAAAAATCTCAATTGAATCTTTCTATGCTGTGTTGCCCAAACTTTTGATTGAAATACACTTCAAAAAGTGTCCTGGCTGCTTGAATAGTCAGGGAAAAATAAAATTCCTCAGATCATAACTCAAGAATATTACTTACTTCACAATATAATGTTTTCACAATTCAGACCAGAAAACAAAAACAAATAACAATAATGTGATATGGATACTATTCAAACAAGAGTCTTATTGCAGCAAAAAGGGCAGAAATTAAAATCCCAGTTGAAATTATTCTTAGATTAGAGGGAGGATATCCCTCCCATAGAAAATGAGGACTATAGACAGCTTTATATCTACTTTTATGCGAATGGTTTTCAGACCTCTTCTTTGAGTTAAATCCTCACATAATCAGCCCCCAAATGCTTCCTGGGCTTTTCCAGAATGTTTATCACAGGTGACTCAAGTCAACATTTCAAAATGGAACAAATGGGCTTTCCTAGCTTTGAACTGATTATCCACTAGGAATTCTATTCTCAATGATTGGGGTCATTATCTGACCTATTTGGTTGTTCTAATCATTCTTGACCCAAAACTTGTTCGAGCATTTCCAATCTTAAAAACACCACCACCAATCACTATAATCAGCCCTACATAAAACTTTATTTTTCTCTCTTACCCAAATTTCTTGAAAGAATTTGTTCCTTTTGCTGCCTCCCAATCTATTCATTCCTCAACTTCTATTCTTTGAATAAAATTTTACTTCTTTTATTTCTACTATGAAACTGCATTGTTAATGAACCGAATGTGTATTTTTCATACACACACACACACACACACACACACACACACAAATATATATATATATATATACATATATATATATATATATATATATATATATACACATTATACACATATACATACATACACATATATCTTTATAGCATTCTGTACCACTAATGACTCCATTTTTGGTTTTTGCTTTTCAATTACACATAAAAAAGGAGGCTTTTTCCACACTTTGCTGGAAAGAGGAAGTCAGAATGCAAACATCCTACTTTCTCTCTACTTATCCTTTGTGGTTATTTAATGGGAAGAAATATTATTTACTTAGATTGGAAAGATTTATGATAATTTAAGGTTCACTGGACCCCATCCAAAAATCTCAGCATTTAACATTGGCCCTAAAAGAGAGAAACATTTTTTCTTAACATTTTTTCTATCTTCAACTATCAGTTCACAGACGAGGCAACATGAGTTATTTAACTATTTATTGTTTATTTTACAGCAGGTATCTGGACTTTAATCATCTTGCATAATTGAAACTTTATACCCAATGAGTAGCAATTCCCCACTCCCCTTCCTCCAGTACTCTCTGCTTCAATGAGTATGTCCATTTTCTATTCCTCAGTGTGTGACATCATGTAGTATCTGTCCTTCTGTGACTAGCTTATTTCATTTAATATAATTTTCTCAATGTTTATCCAG